TGACCGATGTTACGTGGTGCGAATCCCGAGGAGAAATGGAAAGACTCAATCAGAAGAAGTATCAAAGTGGTTCGTTATTGCGTGGGGAATGCCTTTCATTATGTGTCCTCAACCTATTTTGGATATGTTTCCTAATGAAACTCCGGGCGACATTTCCGACGATGCTCTTCCCTTGGAGCTAAGGAGCGCGAGCACGGTCGGTCAGGAAATGCACGGAAGGCGAGAACGGTCAGATGGAGCTGTTCAAATGCTAGATTCTCCCTGTATCAATGTCCTTGCCTGGTACTTTTGGTCATCGGTTCTCAGCGGCAGCACGCCCGAAACCTAAATCACTCAAAAACCAAAGTAACGCTGTGATGGCTATCAAATTTATTATATCAAAAGCTAGTAAATCTTATTGTCAGTTTTTTGGTCCAACCGACGACCGAGTATAACCAATCAAAGACCATAAATGTGGTATGTGTAAAGGCCTAGATGGCATGGCATGTTGACTTCAGCCAGAGGCTCTCTTGCTCCATAAACCTCATCTATGCCAAAGACACCCCGGAGACGGGGAGTATATCCGTTGCTCGATATACCCCTTGTAGAGCGGGGGTATAGTAGAAGGAAAGAGCAAGCAGTGTTACCAGGTTAGGGTTGGGCGGTTTCGGAACCATGATTTCAAGACAAAACGGCTAAACTGACGTATAATTGCCACCTTACCCCCCCCCTAAAAGGAAGTCAGCGGTATTTGTATTAGTTTCCAATCATTTTTGCCAATTAAATGTCTCCTTCTTCTGGTATGGTAACACTGGAGACATTCCCGCTTCCCGCCAAATTACTTTGTGTCTGTCTGCATTGCTCGCTGTAAACCCGACAAATTTTGTAAACACTTCAGAACAACTATCTTTTCCATTCGAGGCTTTGTTTCTTCCCTGTTCCTCAACTGTGAAGTGAGTGTTCAGTTTTCTTCAATTGGGTGTAATTGTTATTTCGGAACTCTCTTGAACTATTCGAATTAAATATGGTTTGGACCATAACCTTTGTAGGAGGAATTACACCATTTGTGATAACTTTTAACCTTTATTTTCAGCTTTCAGAATGGGTCGCAGAGGAGCATTAATAGTCTTCGAAGGATGTGATAGAGCCGGAAAAACGACGCAGTGCAAGATGCTTGTTGATGCGTTAAACAAAAGAAACATTCGCGCAGAGTACATGAATTTCCCAGGTGAATTATTTTATCTGTCTCAGCATCATTAATTATCACTAAATGTATTGAATGTATTTTTTATATCATTTTGTCTTCAGATCGTTCAACGGCAATTGGCAAGATCATTAGCGACTACCTTACGAAAAAGATTGAACTTCCTGATAAAGCTGTTCACTTACTTTTCTCTGCGAACCGTTGGGAACTTGAGTAAGTGCAAAGTAGCGTGTGACATGCTAATGTTAAAAGTTTCCTTCAGATCATTCAAACAGTGCAATAAGGCCTGTCGACTTCATTGTGCTTTAGCTCTGTAGTATTGTAAAATCTTTGACTCATGTTAACTTTGCAATTTCAAATTGCTATTAGTTTTGCTATTATTAACTAAATAATGTTCTTATTCACAGGCCCATTATTAGAAACAAATTAGCAAGTGGTGTTTCACTTATTGTGGATAGATACTCCTACTCAGGTGTCGCATTTTCTGCCGCTAAAAAGGTAAGACAAGCTTTCGGAGATATCTTTACACTGTTGCCATTTGCTATGATTACAATAATTATTTCAAATTCCTTTGTAGGGTATGGATTTAAAGTGGTGTTGGAATCCTGAAATTGGCTTACCTGAACCAGATGCAGTACTTCTCCTGAACCTTAAAGAAGAAGTCTCCTCAAAAAGAGGAGGATTTGGACAGGAGCGATATGAGGTTTCTGATTTCCAAAGAAAAGTCAAAAGTAACTATATCAGCTTGAAAACCCCACTGTGGCAGGTAATATTTGCTTAATTTTCAATTAACAATTACTTTAGTTTTGTATGCAGCTGAATGCTATGTTCTTTCATTTTTCTTTCAGTTCATTGATGCTGATAAGACTGTAGAAGATCTTCATCAAGAAATATTGAGTACCTTCAACACAATATACAAAAATTCAAATGGCAAGCCAATACAAGTTTTAGAAGAAAATCCTGAACTGGATAACTGTGGTAAATCGTTGAAAGATAGGGATGAAAATACTAATCCAAACATCATTGGCAACACTTATAACTAACACAGTTAAAAACGTTTGTGCCTGGCGCTTTTTGTTTTATTTTGTTCTGTCTTGCTCCAAGCCAGTTTTATATTGACATGAAAGGGTCCTATTAATTGCATTTATTTTTATTGTATCTTGTTGAATGAGTTTCTCAAACGGTTTTGGGTTGCACAATAATCAAAGATGGAAGTTCAAGCATTTAAGAGCTTTAATGTTCAAACAAATAATACAAAGGAAATATCATTCCAATACACCTAACATGAATTGTGTAGCATTTCATCATACTCGGTTCCTATTTTTACAAATAGTTCAAGCTTAAAACTGTCCCGAGACTTTCTTTAGCAAGACATTGGCTGTGAAACTTGTAAGTTGCCTTTGTCTTATGGAATCTTATCTATAGAAATGTTTCAAGGTTTCTATATTAACTAGTGCTGTATGCATGATTCACAGCCTTTACATTTGATATTATTTTCTGATAGCATCACAGTCTTACCTTAATTTTACTTCAAGGGTTTACAATTTCATCACAGTTTTGGCCTGTCATCTTGCTAATCTTAAAAACAAAATGTTAGTAAACTTTTAAATTTCTCTGACAAGCAGTAAGGTTTTTGCACTTTCTCAAAGCCATTTTTTAAATCAATTAGTTGTTAACTTTTTACTGACCAGTTGGTGTTTGAAGTTAAATCATTTGCAGGTTGTGCAAAGTACAAAAATGATTGATCTTGACGTACCATTCATCGTATCACTTAATGAAAATTGTGTTATGATACTTTTTACGTTAAAACGGTTACTTTATGCTTTACACATTCTGTGCGTCCTCAAGTCGCCTTCTTTTACTACTTTTGGATTCCTTTTCGTGTTTGTAAGGATTCATCAATCAGAATCAGCCTGCAAGTGCAATGCTGATATTATACTAGATACATAAGCCTATGTGCATTACATAGTTAATAATCACAATATTCACCAACCTAACAGCCGACACAATATTATAAAGTTCAGTCTAATACAAAAATGCATTTCTTTACATTTTTATTGTTTAAAGGATATCAAACATTAGGTTTAGTCTTGTTCTTAAGGGGTATTTTGGAAAATGTGTGATGCCATTTCTTTTGTTTGCATTCATTACTGGTTTCAGACTAATCAGACTAACAATGGTATGAGACGGTATTTTGATGGTTCACCTCTCATCAAATATTGGTTAATAGGTATCCTTATTCCCTGTGAAAGCAATATTCTGATGTTTAGGACCTGATATAATTCATTGTGAAAATTAAATTATTCAGATTTGTCTTGTTTAGATTCAGGAAAATCATCAGGTGTTCTCTTGTTGGCAAATGGTAATGAATGACTATGAGGCACAGATTAGCGACGATTAGCACCAGCTCTTCCAACTGCGGGCTTTGATGCGCCTCCTGGTTTTGGCTTGTTGTGTAGCATTGTGGAGCATTTTGGTATGTGTCTATCAGCTGCTGTTTGATTGAATCTGGAACAGATTGGAAAGTGAACACTTAATGCCCTCTAGAAAATTCCTTTGCTTAATGTTTATTTTGTGTACTTACTTTCTTGCACAGTGAGGACATTGTACATAATCTGAATAATCAGAGGGTGGTGGTGGTGGTAAATCAGACAACTTCCCACCATTTGCAATATGGGTCTGAACCTGTTTGGCAGCCCGGATTGTCTGGATAAAGTCCTCATGTTTGCGACGCCAACTGTTATTTTTTAGTGCCTGTTAAAGAAAATTTTTATTTCATTGGAAACCAAAGACAGTTATATCTAATATCTTACCCTGTATTTTTTTCTGTTTTGTACATGTCTATTGTATATGATTTTCTATTATTTATATACGAACTATATTTACTAAATATTATTTATAGAGCATATTTTCCTAACTGGGTGTCTTGGTGCATAATAAAGTATGAAATATAGAACTGCAAACATCATTCTTTCAGTCTGCACCCACACTCCACAGCTTTCAAACTTCTGACCTAGAGTTAACAGCGTCACGCACCTTGGGCTCGGGGGCGTTCTTGGCGCGCCGCACGTATTTCTCCGCCTCGGTCCCCTTGACGCGGGCGGCCACGGGGTCGAAGACCTTGCGCTTCTTGTGCGTGGAGCGGGAGCAGATCTCCTGGTGCTTGGCCACCCGGTCGGGCAGGAAGCGCCGCGAGCAGATGGGGCAGCCCACGAGCCCGTCGTCCTGGCGGGGCTCGGGGCGCGCTGCTGCGGCCGCGGCCCGGGGCGGGGTGGCCGCCGCTTTGGTGGTGCTCGCCATCCTCTGGGGCGAGGCCGGCACCTGCAGCAACAACGGCCTCGAGATGAGAGGAGCGAAAACGGAACGGGGTTCCACGAGAGGCATCGCCGGCCGGCTTATCGTCGGTGTTTCCCCTCAGCAGCCTTCGGGTCGGGTGCAACCCTGCCTCGCCGCTCACCTTGGTGCTGGCTGGCGCCGGCCTGGGCACGCCGTTGGTCCTCGCTGCAGCTGCAGGTGCCCGAGCCGGCTGGGCAGGTCCCGCGGGCTTCACGGCAGCGGCAGCTGCGGCAGTGGGCGCCGAACGTTGGCCGGAAGACGGCCGCAGCGGCGCCACTCGCGCAGGGGCGGGCGCGGCGGCGCCGGTACCCTGTCGGCCAGACAATCACACTTCATTTCTGTTTTCGCCAGATATTTTTCTCATGCCTGACAGCTATTTAGGTTGTTTGATTTCATCGATTTCATTATAGTCACATCTACAAATTTTTATTGTTTTGATTTCAGTTGTGCGTGCTTTGGTTACGAGGGTGCCCATTGTTAGTGGTGGACGCAGGACGCGACGCACTCTGCTGGCCGCTGGCGCCGCTGGCCCGGTGCTCACGCTCACCATGGTTTTCCTCGCCGGACCCGGCAGCCTGGACGCGCCGGTGGCGCCGGGCCTGCCCGGGGGCGGCGCGTTCTCGTTGGCGGCGGCGGCTGGCGGCCTCCTGCTGGCGGGGGTGGTGCCGGCCCCGGGGGCGGACAGGCGTCCGGGAGGAGCCATGGCGGCCTGCTGCGTCTGCTGCTGCTGTTGCTGCGGGTCAGAACGCACTGTCAACACACACCAGCCGTCGCGAGAGTGACGGTCACCACCGCCCGCACCGCCCGCCTGCCTCACCTGTGACAAGAGCTGCCCGCCTACGTTGGGCAGCCTGTTGATGCCCCGGAGGTCCTCGTGGAAGCGCTGGTCCGGGGCGTACGCTCCGTACGTGCGCGCGTACAGCGGCGGCGACTCGCGGTCGGACTCGGAGGAGTCGCTGGCGTAGTCCAGGTGCCGCTGCTGGTGGTGCCGGCCGCGCGCCGCCCAGTCACCCTGCGCACGGCGGCAGCCCTCCAGTCAACACACATTGCACTGCCGCGGCTCGCGCCCGACACCCTCGCCCAGGACTCCCCGGACTGACCTGACGGTGGACGCGAAGGTCGCGGTCCAGGGAGTGGCCCCGCGGCTGACGGGGCTGCTGCTGTCCGAAGTGGTACGTCTGGCTGAGGTTGACGTTAGAGTTGCTGCGAGTGGCGAGCACGGGTGCGCGCGCGCGCCGCTCTATGGGCGCGAGGGGCAGGCCGCGGTCCCGACCAGCGCCGTGGCTGGCGCCGTGCCCGTGGCGGCGGCCCTCGAACAGCTGCCGGACCTGCGGACAACAACGCGACAGGCTGGATCATATGGCCCGTCTACCAAGACAAAGTGTTATCGGTCCAAACTACCGCGCAATTGATAATGTCCGCCCCGGCCCAGCCGAGGAGATTGCAGAGAGGGAATGAGGACGAACGATCCCGATGCTGTGCCGTCCGCTCGGCAGGGGGGCACGGAGCCGTGACACGAATGCCGACCCGGCCCGGCCCGGCCCGCTACCCGCGGACACAGCTGACATTCGCTGTACTTTCCCTCTTCTCTGCCGGTCCATCGCCGCCCGCTCATCGAGCGAGACGAGACGCCAAACATTCCTTTCGGCCGAGGGCCGAGCCTTTGGCCGCGAGGATGGCGACCAGTTTGTCCGCTTTTATTTCGTATGAAATGAGGTTGTGTAGTTGAAAATTAGTGTTGTGAAGCAGGGTGGGTCTAATAGCGAACGGCGCGTTCCCCGTATTATTATTGGCGATCAGAGGTTGGTTCCCAGGAGACACTCCGACCAAAGGGCACGGCGAAGCCTGGCTCTGGCGCGCCCTTTTCCTTTCACTCTCTGAAGCAACTGCCCCAGTCTGACAAGCCCCCCCCCTTCCTCCCTCCCTTTCCAGTTGGTGCCAAGGGATTGCACATCTGTGCGGTCGCGAAACTAATGGCAGTCCCTTTTCCACCGCTGGCGGGGGCTGGGGAGCAGGCATCACCCCGCCCACCACGGCCGGGTTAGACTGTACCACATGCACGCATGCGGGCTGGTTGCCTACTCGCTCCACCCGTAAGGCGCCATGGCCCCTAGGGTCAGCAAACCCGCAACACTGCTCTGTCTCGTAGCCCTGACACACCGGATAAGTGGAACCTTCTCGCAAGTACTCGAGTCCATACCACACCACATGCATGCACCTCACCCACCTTGCCGTGCGGCAGCGAGGACTGCGACGACTGGCTGGCGTTGGACGAGGAGCTGCCCGCGCTGCCGTTGAGGGCGCTGGGCTCGCGGTGGAGGCCGTGCTGCAGGACCGCCTGGGACGCGCCCACGCGCTGGAAGGCCCGCTCCTGCTGGGCGCGCTGCTCGGCGTACAGCTGCAGCAGTCGCTGCTCCTTGTCGGCCAGCTGCCGCTGCTGGTAGCGCGCCTGGAACAAGTACCATCGATCATGACAGGGCAAACGACCCCGGGCCCGAGCTGCTACACGACGTTTGCGATTTCCTGGAGCGTGTGGGCGGGCCTCTACAAAGCGCCTCGACTGTCCGTCCCAACAGAGAGGCAGCACGCTGACGACGCTGACGTGCCGGGGGTGTGTGAGTGGACCTGTCGTCATTTGTTAGGCCCGGCACGGGTGTAGCCACCGCAGCACCTGAACCACCCTCGCCTCGCGTCTCCCGTTCCTTAAATGTATCCTCTGCTAAAAAATCACACAAAATTTCTTTAAAAAATAATTTCAAAGCCAATTAAATTATCTGTATTCGTATCCATCTCTTATCGAGGCAGATCATTTTAATGTTGCAAATCTCTCCGAAAAAAAATAATCTCGTATCCCTATTATCTTGCGAAACCCGCGCGCTCCTCTACCATGGCCCTCCGTATCTGTAGCCTGGAGCCCATATGGGCCATGTGTATTTTCTTGCTAGCGACGTAACTAACTTCTTCGCCACCCACCCTGACCCTGCCCGCCTCATTCTCCCTTTTAGCGAGTGTAGAGCATCTTTCTTGGCAGTGCCCGGCGAGGCGCGGGGTGCGTGGGCCAGGCCAGGTCGGCGGCGGCGCGGCGACGCCTTGCCTTGCCCGGCGCGGAGGAGCCACGGCGGCGGAGCCGAGTATAAATCCTTGTGGCGGCACACGTCCACGTCCCTCGGCCTGACTCACCGCGCGCTGCGAGCGCAGGGGGAGCCACCAGAGCCGCCGCCGAGTGAACGGCGTCGTGAGAGAGTGAATGTCCGGAGCAAAAGCTCCGCCGCGCCCACCACATTCACAACATATACAACAGGTTATTGGCAGTTTGGACGTGGTGTGGCGCGGAGACTCGCCACCAGCCAGCCCGGGTAGGTGGTTGAGGTAAGGCGTCGCTCCCGCCCGCTCCCGCCCGCCTCCTCTACCCCCTGCCTACCACTCCTCGCCCTCGGCGCAGTCAGCTGTCATGTCTCGGATGCCTTCGCTTTTCTCGATCGATCGCTCGATATGCACGCGAGCATCATATCTAATGAGGGGACTTGCTGCTCGTAAAGGCGCTAGCACCGGGCGGCGGTCGCCTCCGGCAGAGGGGGAGGGGGAGGAGGGGGGCATGGAGGTGATTGGGGAAATGGGGAAAGGAAAGGGAAGAAAGGAAGACAGGAAGGGAAAGAGAAGCTTTGGTAAAGCAAAAAGAACGACATGACTCGAGAAAAAGCAAGCAAAGCGTCCCGTTGCGGATCATCGCCGTTTTGTCATGGAGCCAATGAACGGCACACCACCACGGGGTACGTCCACTGTGGAAATTGGAAATGAATGCACACCCCGGGTTACACTGACTAGAAGGCAAAAGATTAGGTGTGTCTGGACGTTATTGGAAAAGTCACTGTGTGCGTCGATGACTCAATTGAATGCGGTAAGCATTGGGCTGTGCACAACAAATTTGAAGACTTTTAAACAGGAATTATTTATTTCTATGAGAGTATGTGTACCAATAATACAAATTTATGCATGACATTGTTCCTATAAGCATATGCGAGCATATATGTTCGTTTAAATTCCTGAAGGTGCACGAACCACTATATGCATTGGGTTCAGTGTGTAATTTCACAGATCATTGATAAAGCGGATTCCCGTTTGCCTATTCAATCTTGCCCTATAGCACCCAAGCGTCCCGTGCTAATAGGCAACCCGGCCGGGCTAGGATACCTATGTGCTCCAGCGGAGCAACACGGCCCCACCTTGTACGTACACCGGGTGGATGCATGTATGAGTGCGGACGCTGCACTATTGCGGGATTGCATATCCTCTTAGGCCACAGGGGCCATTGCGCGAGCAGACTCGCAGCAATGCCAGCGCTCGCTCTGATACCTGGTGCAAGAAGGTAGATGTACCCTAGAGAAGCCTCGCTTCATGTTAAGCTGGTAACTAGATAATACGGCGTCGCTCCGGCCTCTACGGTATTCCGGAGCTGGGTGAGACGAAGTAAAATGAAAGAACAAAAGGCGAGGAAGTGGGGGAAGCATGGGATAGAGTGAAGTGGTCGTGCGCGTGCGAAGTACGTCTTTTGTTCTTTCATTTTACCTTTTCACCTCCAGCTTTGAAATACCCGGGTCAGTGACCCGCCTGGTGGGGAGACAATTTATCCTATGACGTTAGGGCAAGAACACCGTGGGTAAGGAGCATGCTCTAGCCTCCCGTCAGGTCTGGACAGACACCGGACATGCCGTAGCGCACCGAGTTCAGGGCGACGCGACGGCGGGGCACGGACGGCACTCCGGTCCCAGCCATATAAGTCAACTTTACGGCTCGCTTCCCGGTCCAGGACGGCGCACCGCCGGCAACGAGCGCATAAGCGGACGTGCTACGGGCGGCGGCCGAGCGGCGATTTAGAGGTCAAGACAGGTTGACGACAGGAGGAAAATAGGGATCGCGTCCAGGAAGTAAGTCCGTTTGTTCTCAGATTCATCCGAAAAATGAGGGAAGCGAGGTGCCTGCGAGACGGAGGGTAGGCAACACCGCAGTACACGCATGCGCTGCAGGCCAGATGTTGCGTACCCATCAGGCGCTTTGGGAGCTTGCAGAGGTTGAACTTGGTTGGTTTGAAACGACGAACGACGGGCTCACTTTCTGGATGGTCCCATAGGCGTCCAGACGTCTCACCAACACCAAGATCATAAAATTGCTAAATATTTCCCACCCTAAAAAATGTAGCTAAGCATGAGCACTGCACGTGTAATTATTTTACACTGCATTGTGCCCTGAGCTGAAAGTAGCCCATGTGTGTTTAGAGCCCAGCCCAAGAACATTTACTGCACAGCAGGCAAACTTAGTTGAGACAATGTTTAATTTTGAGCCAGAACAAAGTCGACTGACTGGGAGCATAAGACAAACATTTATATTGTTTAGTTTAAGTAGTAGTGCTTGTTTAATAAATATGTTAAACCGTGCAGTCCGTTCAATAAAAGTCTGCCTTAGGCTCTATATTTTCCGATCACCCAAAGTGTCCTTTTCCAAAAGCTACATATTTGCTATGAATCTGCATTGGTAGAAGCTTCACACTAGACCTCGTGGAGTTTCGCTTTTTACTGACAAGAACTGCAGACTTACTAAGAACCATTCCCATGGGGCTGTTTTCTTTTGTGTGTTTGTTTTTGCGGGATGACCTTCATTTTCGCGTGATGTTAGATACCTCTGCGTCCGGGAGAAGTAGTGATGCTCGATGAGCTCGGCGGTCGGGCGGGCGTATCCTCCTCCGCTGCGGCACTATCCACTTCCGGCCCGGAACTGTCACACTGCACTCGCCGTCACTACACTTGTCTCGGCCGCACTAACGTTCACTAACGCGGGGTGCAACGCACTGCGACGGGTCGTGCTTCCGACGCTGAGGCGGCTGAGGCTGAACTGAGTCGCGTTGAGCCGGCAGAGCCGGGCGGGGCCGGGCCGGGCCAGAGCCAGGAGCAGCGGGGAGGAGGTCGGTGTGCAGGCTGCAGCAGACAGTGGGCGCCGCCCGCCCCGCCCCGCGCTGCCCACGCCCATATATGTAAAGGCGCCGGCCGCGCTATGTGCGACACTGCCGGTCACTGCGCCGTCACCTGACTCATCAGATCCTGTGATCTGCCACAAGAATGGTCTATGTTCACCACGACTTTACAAATAAATCTGTCTTTACGAAAGCGTTTGTAAAATTACGAGTTGGGGAAAAAATAACAACGTTCGCAAACGTGGCAAACGGCATCACTCGTTAAAGTTAAGTTAAAAAATGAAAAATGTTCTCAATTTACGAAAATATTTTTCCCAGGGTTCTTTCTGACCCCTTTCTTACTGATCCGTATAATAAGACCTTTTCTCGGTCTGTTGATGTCATCTATTCAAAGAAAGTTATCTCAGTCGTTCGAAGGGGTACTTATGTAATATTCTTTACTTTGGTTTTATCTTCCTTTTCGAGGGTGGGCGAGCTGGGACACGGAACTACTAGTAACTGTCGTTGGACTCGTGAATGTAGGCAACTTGACTGCGGGTGCAGTTAAACTTCTCTACCAGGATGTGATTGTGATATGGCCATCAGTTTGGCCCAGTAGAGCCCCCCCCCCCCTTTCTCCCCGCAGGCCAGGCCATATCTTTTACGCTCATTGCTTTACCAAATACGCGTGAAATTTCGGCCTTCATTTTCCCCGTCTAAGACGTTCTGAGTTTCTACCTCTAAAAGCAATCCAATGGAAAGGGAAGGGAGACAATCTGCAATGACAATGCAACGAGCGTACAGATATGGCCTGCAGGTGGGGGGAGAGAGACCGGGGCCTCTACGGGGGCCAAACTGAGCACTCCTCGCCATATAGGGACGGTATGAGCAGGTGCGTTTGGCAGTGGTACGTCCGCCAGACAGGCGGGTACCCGCGGCGACCGGCGAAAGGACCACCGCTTTTGCACGGGTCGTCAATGTTCCTATGTATTTACGACTTACGGCGCCTCTGGGCGTGTGCTGTGTGGTGCTGTGTGCACTTGTCCAGTTCAGGCGCCTCCGTTAGCCTCTGGAATGTGGTCCCCGGGGGGCGGGCGCAGGCGAGTCCAACTTAGCCCACAGGCGCGAAGCTTATGGTACTGGTACTGACGTGGTGATGCACACTCTCTCTATACCCTCATCAAAAAGTATTTTTGATTCTCTTATGAAATTCCATTGAAAAACTGATTCTATCAGATCAAAGGAAATGTTTCGACATTGGCAGTAACACAATTTCGTCTCAAAATTTCCTTTGAGATTAAACACTAATTTTTTAATTGAATTTTCTATAATCACAGAAACCTAGAGTGTATGTTCTTGTAAGCCAGGTGCAGGTTTCTGCCTTAATTTCTTTTAGCACGTAAGTACACAAAACCATTTCCATATCGGAAGGTTCTGGTTCTGGCAGCGCGGACTTGTCGTAGGAGGTGCTTTCCAGTTTCCGCCGATAGGCCTCGCACACGAAA